GTGGCATTTGTCACCTTATGCCACCCCAGTAGATCCGCCTATGGCTCCAAGTTGTCTCCAGTGCATACAATATTAGTGCCATCTGCGAAAAGTACAAATTTCATAACAGAAGACACATTGCAAATATCCATTATGTACATAATAAATAAAGTTGATCCTAAAATGGAGCCCTGCGGTACTCCACACGTTATTCCCCTAAGCCCAGATTTTTGTTGTCCAAACTGTACAATTTGTTTTCTATCCGCTAAATAGCTCTGTAACCACTCGTTAGGTAACCCTCTAATGCCATACCTTTCCAGCTTTTTTAATAGTAAACTGCGGTCAATGGTGTCGAAATTCCCATAACAAAATTACATTTATCAATGCCATGTGTTATGCTTTCAATTAAATCAAATATTTCAAGTGATGTGGATCTGTTTTGTCTGAACCCATACTGGCTTTCGGTTAACAATTTGTTTTGGTCTATGAATCTGCGAAGCCAACAATCAAATAATTTTTCTAAGATTTTCGAAAACTGTGGCAAGAGTGAAACCAGACGAAAGTTGGTGAAAGTATTCTTATTTCCAGATTTGAAGAGTGGGATTACTTTAGCATTTTTCAGTCTTTTGGGAAAGAGTCCATTTTGGAAGGATAGATTGCAAATATGTGTAAATAGTTTAATGATTTCTTCTGCCACCACTCGAACCAATCTCATGTCTAAGTCATCTATGTCACGTGACTTTTTGTTTTTACATTTTTTTACTACACTCAAGACCTCTTTTTCATTTGTATTGAAATTATTATTTATTAAATTACTGCACCGATCATCTTCAATTGGAATTTTCCTAGCAAGATCTGGTCCTACATTAACAGAACAATCATTAAACCCATCTATCTACTCGGATCTGTAATTTTGTTTTACTTTCGCAGTCTCCAAACAACATAAACTTGGTTTGATCCAAATTTAATGAAAGTTTGTTATTATCAAACCATATCTTAAGTCGACATAATTCAAAGTTTATATCATCAGCTGATCCAAATTATCGCCTGTCCAAAAGGTTTTAGTATGATCTGCAAACAAAAAAATTTTAAGTATTTTAGAAACTTTGCTGATGTCATTAATATAAAGGATAAATCATTTTGGCCCCAATACTGACCCCTGGGGGACACCACAAACAATTTCCAAGCACAATGACTGGCAGTCAATCATTTGCACAAATTGTTGCCTGTTGCTAAGATAATTTTTCATTCAGAGTAGTACTACTCCCTGGATACCATAAAGCTTCAATTTCATAATTAATATTTTTATATTTATTGTGTCAAAAGATTTTTTTGACACCAATAAATACACCAACTGCAGATTTGTTATTATCTAAGGCGCTGGTGGCCACTTCTATCAATTTAATCACAGCCATTGCTGTAGATCTTTGTGATCTAAATCCATACTGACTTTTGGAAAGCAGTTTATGTTTATTAATGAATGTATCTAATCTATCCACAAATAATTTCCCCCAAATTTTGGAAAACTGCAGAAGTAGAAGACAGGCCTATAACTTGTGAAATGGTGTCTGTCCCTATATTATAAAGCAGAATAACATTAGCAATTTTCATCTTTTCTGGAAATGGTATAAATGAGACCACATCAAGTGTTCGTTTTGTAAAATTACAATAACAGTGAGAAGCAACCTACTGTTTATTCTTGTGTCAGATGCTGCATCTAGAAATGTCAGATTACAGATGTAAGTCAGAGGATGAATAATTTCCTAAATTACCTTCTTAATTACTGTCATATCAATGCCATCTCAGTCAGTTGACCTCTTGTTACATTTATTGACGATATCTATAATTTCCCTTTCACTCAGGCTGTGAGAAACATTGAATAAGGAATTCTGTCAATTAATGTTTCATTCAGAGCTGTAGTTGAAATTATGAGTGTCATTAATGTCCTAAATATTGTTATCATTATGTACAAAATTGGGAAAATTTAATTTCTCTCGAGTTTGTCTTGATAAATGATTTAAAACATTCCAAACAATAATACATTCCCTTGGAATATATACTAAAAAGCTTTCATATACAATACTAGAGCACTTTCATATTTAATATAATTTAATATGTGTATATGGAAGTTAATTCTGATTTATGTCCCAGCTCATATTTTGTGGTCCAATTTAAACATGTCACATAAGTAGAAATCACATAAGTTACGGAAAGCCAAATGTGCTGTATATTTCAGAAAATAAAAACTAGAAAGATCTCTATTT